TGTCAACTTATTTCCCTGCAGTATGTTTTTTCTTAATGTTTTTTTTACAGCAAAGCACAGTAGTGCCCTCCAGAGACAGTCTGTGTGTGTGGAGTGTGGATGCATTCCAATGTAAATGTATGTATCTGTTGTGTCTATGAACACTCAGAGTGCTGTACTGTACCTCTATAGGGAGTTAAGGTTTCGTAGACGTGCTCAGTCAGCTGACGATGAGACCAGCGCAGAGCTGGCCAACTCCCTCCAACACCTCACGCTGTCCGAATTCCTCAAAGAGTATGTCAATACAGAGCCCCAGTAGCCCCAAAACACCAACAACACCCTTGGCATGATCATCTTAATAACCTAACCAGATTGCACTGTCACCCACGGTCATAAAAATCAAGTCTAATGCTTCTTAACCTTTGTGAGATAACTCCAAATGATGCTTTCACTTCACTGTGTTGACACTAAAATATGTAATAACACTGTTTGTGAACCTAACTGTGGTCCTTGTCTCACAACTCGCCTCCCACCAAGCAAAGATTTCTAATCTGGTATGTGTGAAATGCAGAGAATGTCCGCACTGCTCAGGTGGTATGTCCTAGTTATGGCACAGAGGCTGATGACTAATTATTAATTTTCCTGTTTCCAGGAAAAGAATGCATGACTTAGCCTGAAACAAATGCATTAATGAAACTGCCCAGCCACTGCATCATGGTCTGAAAGTAAAAGCTGTGTTATCATTAAATACTCACTGGCATGTGTTTGTGTTTATAATGCACAAGTGATTAATATAAGCGGGCTTTTGTGTTTCAGGATTGAGGAAGAGGAATGGGACAAATATATCATCCCTTCCAAAACAGAGTCAGAAAAATACAAAGTCAGCCGCACATTCAGCTTTATAAAGAGCCGAATGTATAGCACTCGCAACAAGAACAAGGTAAACATATGTGTTATTTATACTGTATTTATATTTATTCACTGCTTTTCAAAACATTTGGAGTGAGGAAGGTAATACTTTTATTCAGCAAGGATGCATTAAATTGATCTAAAGTGACAGTAAAGCTATTTATGATGTTACAAAAGATTTCTATTTCAAATAAATGCTGTTATTTTCAACTTTCTAGAAACGTTTTTTGAGCACAAAAATAGCATTTATTAAAGTTAGAATCCTGAAATTATCACAGTGTTTACAGAAATATTAAACAGCAAAACAGTTTTCAGCATTGATGATAAGTTACTTGGTGGGAAAAATACTGTACATTTTAAAATATTAAAATAGAACATTTATTTTGAATTGTAATATTATTTCACAATATTACATATAAGCAATATGTTAAAATCTCAAACGTCGGTTTATAGTCTTATAATTTACCTTATACAATACATATTACTTTATACAAAAATATTTTTTTTCTTTAAAAACTGAACTATTTCTTCCTGGTTTTTGCACAAAATATTGTTTATTAGCCATTCAGGGCGAAAGAAAAAGAGATTGGGGTAAAGACTGATTGTTAGTCCCACTGATTGTTAGTCCCAAAAACAACCATTCATTTTTAATCATTAAGCCGTCTTTTGGCTGTAACTGTTTTACCAGCAGCAAACTCTCCCATGGCCTTTTTTTGTCACACAAGCATGTCAGACTTAGACTAACTTAACAAGCAGGAAACATGTAGTGATCAAAATGTTGAGTGTAATGTGCAGTCATGTCAGGTGGTGATGTGGACTGTCAGTGATCTGATGGCTTTCCCTCGGTTCTTTAAGGGGAAAGGAAAAGAGAGAGAGACCAAAGACAAGCAGGTCAATGGACACCAGTTCACAGCAGGATCTGTCCTGGGGTCGACACTTTGTGAGATCTGCGGCAAGCCAGCTTCGGGGAAAGAGGTCCTCCACTGCGCATGTGAGCTTGTTTAATTGGAAACAAATATTTTAAATAATAAAACTGTCATAGTTTTAACTTTAAAAGATGTACAGTTTCTCGTAACACGGAGGTATGCAATGAGTCATTTCATTTTGATCTATTTTTGTCATTTGGAAGGTCTTGGAAGTCTGCCAGGTGTAATGTGATAGGTGTTTTTCTGTATTATATATTTATGTTGTTTCTTCGGATTTGTTTATGTTTCTCTTGACTCCTAGACTGTGCGGTGAGTGTCCATAAGGGCTGTAAGGACACATCAATGCCATGCCTGAAGGTGGACTGTGCTTGTGTTTGCACTTTTTTTTTTTCTCTTGAACTACATCCAAGTCTGATAGATTGCCTAAGTTTAATATTTAAACCTAGATGTTTGCCCATGTTTGGTTTGACACAAAGTACTGAGACTCTGCGATGAGTCCCATTGTTACAAAATGTTACACTGGTAATCAGTGTATCAAATGAGGATGTACTGTTAAGTTTAAGAAATTAATTTAATAATACTCTCTTTTACAGAAACCTCAAGACAAATATTCTGTTATGACGGTAAAATGCAGGACAGCCTCCCTCCCTCAGAGTGAGTTTTACCAGCTTTATAAAACATGTGAAGGAAAATCGATATAACTCCTGCTATCATATCATTGAACTCCTTAACAGAGTTTTTTTAGGCAGTTACACTTTTGTCTTGGTTTTGCTCTCACCTTTTTGTCTGTCAACTTTAGATTTTATAGTGCGTGAAAGTTCCTCCTCGTCCTCTCAGATCCCCACCTCTGCCTCTCTTCCTTTGATGACATCACGAGACTCTACTCCCCTTCCTTGCCCTCTGTCTAGAAGTGTGCCTGCAGTCACAGAAAGGTCCGAAACTCTTACTGTGTTGTAATATTCAACAAAAAGTATCTAGATAAATGAATTGTGAATGGTAATAGCCCATAAGCTATGATGTGCTCAATCTCAAATATACTACAAATCAACTCTGCAAATGAAATGATTTTTTTTGGTTTGATACTGTTATGATATTTAAAATAATATCAATTAAAAGGTGCATTTTGGTCCAAAATGAACTGCTGCTTGTTTATTTCCAGTTTGACAGTTTCAGACATAATATGGAAGTTTATGTAGTCTTAACACGCTACAAAAAGCGGACTAAATTTTATGTTTTTATTTCCTCTGTAAATGGGGAATAATTGCTACTTCTTGACTGTTTGGATAATCAGTGGGTACCCAGAGTTTGTATTTGGTTGAGTGTTTATGGTTCCTTAGTGTTCTAATTAACATTTATGACATGTTTTCCCATCAGGATTAGTGGTAGCCCAGAAGCAGATAGTGACACCCCCCTGTGGCGGAACCACATCCAACCAGAGGAGCTCTTCCAAACCATGGAGTCCTCAACATCCACTGATTCCTCCCTTATTGAAGGTAAAACAGCTGGACTTTTGATGAAGGAAATCACCAGTGGAATAACTGGTCTTCCTACTCCAACTCAAACTACATAAAACACAATAATTTACTCTTTTGTTTGTTCCACATTTCCATAGACTCTGTAGATTCCCCCCTACAGAATGAGCTGGTAATGAATGCTGTGGATTTGGAGGCGGAGTCATGGAGCCTAGCGGTGGAGCCCCAGTTCTGTAAGGTGCAAGAAAAACGCATCATCAAGAGACAGGATGTCATTTACGGTCAGCTAAAACTCACTAAAAATGTTTTGTTCGAATAAGTTCTGTACATCATTTGATAGTGTTTTGTTCTCTTGGTCTTTCTCAGAGTTCATGCAGACCGAGCTCCACCACGTACAGACGCTCATGATAATGGCAGAGGTCTTCAGGCGGGGAATGCGGGAGGAAGTCGGGCTGGATGTGGACACTATTGGTCGGATTTTCCCTTGCTTAGATGAGCTGCTTCTCCTCCACCGTGACTTCCTGTCAGCGATGAGGGAACGGCGGCAAAGCTGCATTCAGCCCAACAGCAGCAAGAACTACCTCATCCACCGTGTGGGTGACATTTTTCTGCAACAGGTACACAATTATAGTTGTTGTGTATATGTCTGTATGAATACACAGTTCAAATTCAGTGTCCTGATCAATAAGTTATAACTTATTGTAAAGTGTTACAATTAAATTGATAAGTTTGCATTTGTTAATTTTGGTTAATGCCTTTACTAGCAATAAGCAGTACATTTGCTACAATATTTGTTCGTCTTTTTTAATGTTTGTTAATATAACTGTTCTTAGTTCATGTTAGCTCAGGTGCTGAAATTACCATTAAATATTTTAGAATTTTTTATTGTTAGATCATGTTAACTAATGTAGTTAACTAATGTTAACAAATTAAACCTAATTGCAAGGTGTTACCATTTAAGTAGTTGTTATGTCATAACCATGACTAAGCAGTTCATCCATTTGGCCCATTTGGAAGGTTCATGAGAAAAGCTATAATGCCCATTCCACAAATGAATCATATTTTGAGTCAAATATTTTTTGAATGAATCCGTTGAGGCAGTTCACAAAACAGGTCTGGATAGCATTTCCAATTCAAACGACATAACTGACTACTTAATTATCAGAGTACGAAGCATCGTTGAAGAAATTAACTAGCTTGTCACACTAACATGAAGCTATGCCTGTCACCACAGCTCAAGAGCTGTAGCTCCATCCACACCTGTTATTGGTATCAGTGTTATATACATATAGAGTACAGTACATCATAGGTGTGTGTCTGTGGTCATTGTAGTTCTCCCAGGAGAATGCAGAGAAGATGAAGCAGGTGTATGGCGAGTTTTGCAGTCGTCACACAGAAGCGGTCAGCTACTTCAAAGAGCTTCAGCAGCAGAATAAGAGATTTCAGCTCTTCATCAAAGTGAGAGACAAATCACTCAATGACTGTATCAGTCACGTTTTAATGTATTATGGATGCTTTTGGCAGCACTGAATTTCAGCTAATCTGATCTTTTTGGTTCCACAGCAACAGAGTAGCAACTCGTTGGTAAAGAGGCGAGAAATCCCAGAATGCATTTTGTTAGTGACGCAGCGAATTACAAAGTATCCCGTCCTCCTGGAAAGAATACTGCATTATACAGAGGGTATTTTTCCTCACCCACAGTACTTACCGTACATACACACAAAATCACATCCAAACCCAAACATATACTGTGCTTACACATTTTTTTAGACTCAGTTTCTCTTGTTCTTTGTTTCAGAGGGCACAGAAGAGCATGCTGACCTGTCTCGTGCACTAGTCCTGATCCGAGAGCTGATCTCCGCTGTGGACCAGTGTGTGAGTCAGTACGAGCAGAACCAGAAGCTGAGTGAGGTCCTGGGCCGCATGGAGAACAAGTGCTCGACTAAACTCAAGAGCGGTTACACCTTCCGCAAGCAGGACATCAGCAATGGCAGGGCTCTGCTGCACCAGGGGCCACTGCTCTGGAAGACGGCCACAGGAAGACTGAAAGGTGACAAAATGAATTGGGTTACACTTTATTTTAAGGTGTCCTTGTTACAGTGTAATTATACATTTAAGTACTGAGAAATATTAATTAACTACATGTACTTACTATATGGTTAGGATTAGGATTTGCCTTAGGGTTACTTGCATGTAATTATGCATAATTTATTGTTATAATAATAGTAAGCGAATTGTCACAATATATTACACAGTAGTCAATAGAAAGGACATATGAACAGCCATTTGTGCTTAATTCTTATCTGGCTCGGTTGATGAAAGATCTGGTTACATTATTTGATTGTTCTGGTCATCCACAGATGTTCTGGCATTTTTGCTGTCTGATTCATTGGTGTTCCTTCAGGAGAAAGATCAGAAATACATCTTTGCTGCTGTGGTTGGTTTTTGAGATTACTATGCATTTTCATCTTCATAAAGCATACATTACAGTTCAAAAGTTTGGGGTAATAATATTTTTTAAATGTTTTTATAAGAAGTCCTATATACTCATCAAGGCTGCATTTATTTGATTTAAAATAACGGTGTTCTATTGTAATATTTTTGAATATTTTATGTATGAATTTTTTAGCAGTCATTACTCCAGTCTTTAGTGTCACATGATCCTTCAGAAATCCTTCTAATATCCTTATTTACTCAAGAACAATTTCTTAGTATTATCAATGTTGAAATTAGTTGTGCTGTAAAAACCATTATACATTTTTTTTTCAGGATTCAAAAGATTTTAAAGGCATTATAACTTAACTTAATGACACCAAACTTTTGAGAAATAGTGTAATCATTTGTATGCTAGGAATAGCCTACATTTGATTTAGTTTGATTTTTTAAATAAGTGTTGCGTGAATAATAATTTGTTTTTGTTCAAATAGTTGTTCTCTTACTTTCCCAGGACCAGAAGCCTCCAGTGATCTCTCTCCAGAAGCTGATCGTGCGTGAGGTGGCCAATGAGGAGAGAGGCATGTTTCTGATCAGTGCATCTTCAGCTGGGCCTGAGATGTATGAGGTACACGCTGCTTCTAAAGATGAACGCAATGCTTGGATGAGACTCATCAGAGAGGCTGTGGAGAGGTGTGTAGTGACGAGGAATGGAGCATGTCATACTTGATTCTTATCTATAAGGGCAGCTGAGCGGGAAACAAATTAGTGTGTGTGATTGTACGAATTTTAAGTTGCATTTGTTTTGTTAAGTTGCCCTGAAGAGGAGGATGAAACTACAAGTGAGTCAGAAGAGGAAAGGAGAGTCACGGAAGCAAAGGTCCAAAAGATCCACAGGCTACAAGGTACAACCAACCAGATAGGCTGAACCGATGGATAATATTTTATAATAGCTGAAATTTATATATAATTTATAATACTTAGAGCTATCTCGCCATTTGCACCCCCGTTCATCTTTCATCTGCGGTGCAGGCAATTACTGTGTATATGCAAGAAAATGACATTGATATAGTGATTGGCTAATGACACCTCAAGAATGCACACATTTCCTAACCTTTACTAAAATATATTTGGAGAGCTCTTATAGCATGAAGTGGACTTGTCAATGCATACACTGACAGTATAATCAATTACTGTTAAAATATCTAACAATGTAATGAAATACACAAGATTTGTATGTTGCTTTTATTACTTCATTAGAATACACAGTTGAATAGTGGTCAATGAGTGGTGTAGTTTCCTAAACTATTTGTGCACATTTGTGTCAGCTAAAGAATAATATTTTTTTGAACATGACAACCAACCTCCTTCTTTCACAGAGTCTTTGTGTGGCCACGATCACCTCATCTGTGCCAATCTGGAGGAGAAGCTACACATCTATGCCGAGCTGTCAGTCATGGCAGGACGACGTGAGACAGGACCAGAGCCCAGACTGCTGGTACGGCCCAGCACTGAAGACATCCCTCAGGCCGGAGTACTGCTCAGTGCTGCTCTTAAAGAGGGTGAGAGTCCACTAATAATAATAGCTGTTGTATAATAATAAATGTTTATTACTCACCAGATCAGTATATTGGAATAATTTCTTTAGGATAATGTACACTGAAAACTTGAGTAACGGGTGCTAAAATCTCAGCTTTGCCATCACAGGCTTAATTTACATTTAAAATATATTAAACCAGAAAACATTTACTTTAAATTGTAGTAATATTTCACTATTATTTTTTACTGTATTTTTAATCAAATAAATGCAGCCTGGGTGAGCATAAGGGACTTTTAAACATTGAAAATATTTTACCGGTAGTGTATGTGTGCATGCACATGGATATATTCACACTCACATATTTATAGACACAATATGCTTCAAGAGGCACTTTTTACAGTACTTTTTAACAATATTACCAGTTTTTTGTGTACCACAATACACATAACTGCATGCATAGTAATCCTGCTGTCTCTCTCCCCTCATTAGCGGAGAACCTGAAAGCAGCCCTCTCTTCTCACTGTGCTTCTACTGCCGCTGTCCCATCTTGTCCAGAAGAGCAGACCCAACCCGAGCCTTGCTCTCCCTCCTCCCCTCTGCCCCCTGAGAACCAGAGTCCACTGATGGACCCCCTCCAGAGGGATGAGGAAGAGTGGGGAGGAGAGGAAGGCTTAGAAACACAGGCCTTTAATCACAGCTCAGACGCTGATCACAATATACACCTAAAGGTAAATGTGTTCTCGTAAATTGCACTTAAACAGCCATTACTACTAGAAGATGAATTGTGGTAGAATAATGTCACAGCATGATTACTAATAGAAATATACTAATATAGGTAAGAAATATTTAATATTTTCCATTATAAGTGATTTAAATTGCAGCCTTACCAAAAAGACTGTGTTCAGCATGAGAGGTACAGTCGCCCTGCATGAATAATTCACATTCTTCTTCCACTATCACATCTCATTCTTTATGTTACTAAGTATTAATGAGCTTAAAATAAGAGGAGTCCATTTCACTGCCTCAAGGGTCCCGTTTCATTAAATATAAAAGCGAAGAATTAGGCTTTCATTTTCTTGGATTTCTTTTCTGCTGTCGATGCCGTCTTGCAGTGCACTGCACAGTACGTCATGCTGATAAGGTTTTTTGTGCTGCTGACATGAGCACAAGGTCATGAAAGGAGATTATCAATATTTAAAAGGTATTTACATTTTATTGCTACAAAACAAAGAATCTTGTTTTACTAGATGTTAAATAAATTGTATTTCTTTTCGACATTTATTTAGGGTTTTAAGCTTTAGATTACCATTAATATTATGTTATATTTGTATTCTGTTTAGTTACAGATTTTAGCAAAATTGATCCTGTTCTACATAAGCAATAACAGACGTAGTTGTGTGTCCACTAGGTGGTGCTGTAAACGTAGTGTTCATATAGACGGGACATAAATCTTGCCTTAAGAGGGCAGACTTGTTTTGTGTTGAATTCAACACAGAAGAGTGTATTCTTTCTAACTGTCTTCCCATTTATACTTCTACACTATAGCCCACGAACATCCAGACTGCACTAAAGTGCGGTAATATTATTGGTTCTCTCTTATATAAAAGTAATATTCAATCCAACACAACGTTTAATAACACAGGAAACTATCCAACTCAAGATAATGTGAATGTAGGGGTATAACAACCATTAACAGGCATTTTTGTCTCATCCTCTCACCTTGTGGGAAGTTATCAATACTGGTGTCTTAATGTGTCCCCCCACATTACTCAAGCATCCTTGAGGTTGCCTTGCTCATTTATAAATCTACTTGGCTGAAAGGCTGTTTTCTTTAACTCAGGTCACCGCGTCTGTTTCCTGTGCTGTCTGTTGACTTTGTAGATAAAGAACCAAATGGTGTTTGAGTCAACAGATGCTGAAATTTTTTAATCATTCCTAGGAACCTCCTGAAGTGTAAACAGTGTTTGCAGTTTTGTAAAATGTGCTCCAGCAAGCAGATGTCTAACAAAAAATGTAAATTAAATATCTGTTGTTTGCAATAGAACAGAATATATTGCTATAGTGCACACAGCAATTTTGTTCTCGTTCCAGGAAGAAGAGACATTAGTTGGAGTAGACTCATAGTTTTGATTTAGAGTTCTTTACTTCCTGTTGCTCATGGTTTGTTTGTTGTCCTAATGTAGGTGAGTCAGAGTGTGCAGAGCTTGACTCAGCTGCTATACAGTCTACAGGTGAGCTCATGTCACACAACCACATACCAACTGAAAGAATAATTATAGTGGACAGGCCTTACGTCAGGCACACATAAACACACGACATGACTTACTTCAAATAGCTCTGTCCAAGCCTTAAGTTTCATTGCCTAAACGTGTTTGACCAGCTATAAAACTGTCTTATATAACATGCTGTGGTTTGGATGTATAATAGAAGGATGTGGGATGTAGACGTAAGTGGCACACCTGCAAAAGTCTCTTAGAAGAGATTGACCTTCTTTTTGTATTGCTAGATAAAAAAAAACATTGGAACTTCCGAGCTACTGTAGATGTCCTTATCAAAGGGATAAATTTGGATGTATTTTTATTGTTTGTTTGGAAGTAGGGAAGCATAATACAGCTGTTCAGTCATGATGTCAATTTGTAGGCCAACCTGGAAGGCTAATTTGCCACTGGTTCCCTCTGGAATGTGTAATGGGTTTTTAGAATAGCCGTTTTTGATTTATGAGAAAAATTAAACTTTGACATTTTGTTCTGTAGCATAATTTACAGTTACAATTTACAGTACATCAAATATGAATTTGTGCTTTAAAAGAGTTGATAGAAAATTGCTACACAAGGACTGCAGCTACTTCAAGAATGTACACTACTGTTCAAATGTTTGGGGTCAGTCTTTTCTAAAAGATGCATTAAATTGAACATAAGTGACATATTTTCTTATTTTTTTTATATGATTACAGTTTTCACAGTCAGCATTCTCTGAGCGTGAATCTGAACCTGAGCGTAGTTGAGTCAAACTGAGTCTAAGAGACTATTTTCACATGATATTTAGTTACTGTCTTTTACCTATGCAGGACAGCATTGTAGTCTTTATGTAACAGTTTGTTATTTTTAGAATCATGTGTTTGAGTTATGACTGTTATTTGTGTTATATAACAAAGTGTGAACGTAATTCTTCAATGTCTTCAAGTATTGTTAACCACAGACCATATTTTACTCCAAATCAAAAACTGCTATGATAAAAACCATTAGACATACCAGAGGGAACCATATATGAAAAATGCAAATTTTCCTCAGATTTTTAGAGCTAAAAACAGCTCCATTTAACAAGTCACTAGAGGCGGCACGAGAGAAGATGCAATTTATGCATAGACTTGTGTAAGTTGAGACATATACTGTACACTACCATTTAAAAGTTTGGGCTTGTTTGTTATGATTATTTTATTGTTTTTAAAAAATAAGTATCTTATGCTCCATTTATTTGATCAAAAATACAGTAAAAAGATTAATATTGTGAAATATCATTACAATTTAAAATAGCTGTTTTCTATTTTAATATTTGTTTATAGTATAATCTATTACTGTGATGCAAAGCTGATTTGGTGTCCAAGAAGCATTTCTTATAATTATCAATGTTGAAAACAGTTGTGCTGCTTAATATTTTCAGAGAAACGGTGATCATTTTGATTCAGGATTCTTTAATTCAGCGGTTCTTAATCCTGGTCCTCTTACCGCTTCAGGGGTTTGTTCCATTCAAACATAAGTGCCCTGCGAAGTGGACATCACAGGATATTCCGCCATGTATCCAGTTCAAAAGAAGCGTATATGTTCCATTCTAAGGCTATTCAAGTGTGCGAGATGTAACTTCTATGCAAATCTCATGATTATGGTTAAATAACCCTTCACACTTCTGGAGTAAGTTTTGTCGTGTGGAGACGCAAATCTGTGTTCTTAAGTGAACTAAACTTCAGCCGATTTCCCGTGTGCAGGGAATAGAGAGCAGTGAACACTATGTAGGGAACATGTCAATCGGAACACAGTGGAGCTCTCTTCTACCGAGCTGGTTATCGGAATCAGGTGTGTTAAACCAGAGAGACATGCAAAATATGCAGAGCGGGGGGTCGCGAGGACCAGGATTAAGAACCGCTGCTTTAATGAATAAAAAGTTCAATAAATAGCATTTATTTAAAATAGAAATCTTTTGTAGCATTATAAATGTATTTACTGTCTGTTTTGATTAATGTATTGCAACATTACAGAATCAAATGATTAAAACCTTACTGATCCCAAACTGTTGAATGGTACTGTACTTGTGACTGATGATGAACTGAGGGTGGTAGCCTAGTGATGGTTTGGTCAAGACTCACTAGTGTTAGCTATTTCAGTGAATAAGTGCCATTGTAATTCACCTTTGATCTCCTTTACTTTAAAGGATTAGTTCACTTCCAGAATAAAAATTTCCTGATAATTTACTCACCCCCATGTCATCCAAGATGTTCATGTCTTTCTTTCTTCATTCGAAAAGAAATTAAAGTTTTTTAGGAAAACGTTCCAGGATTTTTCTCCATAGAGTGTACTTCAGTTGGAGCCAACAGGTTGAAGGTCCAAATTGCACTTTCAATGCAGCTTCAAATGGCTCTACACGACCACTGCCAAGGAATAAGGGTCTTATCTAGCAAAACAATCAGTCATTTTCTAAAATAAATAAAATAAATTGTATACTTTGAACCACAAATGCTCATCTTGCAATATGTAGTTGTGTATGTATTGTGTAATTACATTGAAAAGGTCACGCGTCATGTAGGCGGAAGTACCGACCCAGTGTTTACAAAGCGAACGTGCAAAGAAAGTCAAACACCTATTACAAAAAAAATGTTAAAACAATGATGTCGGACGATTTTGAAGTTGGAGGAGAAAATGAGATAAGAGTTTTTCACCCTACCCAACGTTTTGAACTGAAGTACACAGACAAAGAACTAACCATGCATGGCCTTTCCAACGTGATTACGCAATGCGTGAAGTCGTGCATGCGCACCGTAGAGCTAGTGCAAGAAAAACCTCAAAAACCTTAATTTATTTTTGACTGAAGAAAGAAAGACATGAACATCTTGGAAGACATGGGGGTGAGTATATTATCAGGAATTTTTTCTGGAAGTGAACTAATTCTTTAAACACCCTTGCTTTTTGTAAATAGGCCACAGTCACCATCCAAGACAGTTGCTATGAAGTCCAGAGGCTCCTCCTCCTCCTGTTATCAAGCCCCTCCCCTCACCCACACTCCCGCCCACTGCCCATCACTCGCAGCAACCAGACCCTGCAGGAGCAGGAGCGCCAGCGGGAGGCGGAGCGCCGGCGAGAGGAGCTGGCGGATGTGGCCCGTCTACGGGGCACCCTTGTACGAGAGAGGCAGCAGTGGGAACGGGAATGCCAGGTGCGACAGCTTCATCAGTCTGAGCTAGAGGCGTCACTGGAGCAGAGGGAACTGGTGTGCCACCTAGAGGAGCGGAGGCTGCAGAGCGAGCGACAGGAGCTCCAAGAGCAGCTGCAGGAGTACCAGCAAAGCCTGGAGAGGCTGCGAGAAGGCCAGAGGACTGTGGAAAAGGAGAAGGAGAAGCTGGATGCTCAGCGGAGGCTGCTGGAGAGTTTGCAGCAGGGCTACCAGCAGAACCTGCCAGCTATGGTCATACCATTGGATGGACAGCAGACACAGGTGATGATCAGTGAGTGGATGGGAATGTGTGGGATTCAGTGGTGGTCTGTGTGATGTGGAAATTAAAGTCACCATGAAATCTAAACTGGCAATTCTTACAATGTATGGAATAATGCCGTGTTTATTATAAATAATTTATCAGTATACAGCATTTTCTTTTTTTAAAAAAGGGTGTCTAATGACCAGACAAATTTCAATCCCTCCCCTCCTGCAATATGTCACTCACACGAAACAATCAAAGCAAAGCTTAAGTCAAGTCATGACAATGAATACTGCGGGTCCAAGTCTCCAGTTTGTTTCAATTGAGACTGCAATTGAGAATTCAACTGAGAATCTCAGCAGCCATTTATGAGCGCTATTTATTTATAGCACACCTTTAAGTTAGCCTTTTATATACTCTGACACCTGGTCAAGTGAGATTTAGCTCTTAAGGATAAAGGTTTGGATCATGATACACACCATAAATGTATTTTGATACTGTTTGTTGTTCACTTTTAGCATCATATAGAGTGTTTTAATCTCGAAACGTCGGTGTGTGACGTCAAACTTAAAGGTGCAGTAGGACATCTTGGAAAATGCTAACTTTACCCTGATAGCACTGAAAGCGTACGTCGCACCCTTCCTGCAAATAGCCGTCCAAAGCCATGCCCCCTGAACACATATACGCACACAGACCAGACGACCAGATACAACATTACTACAATACATCATGTGTCATTCACCGGTGAGAAAACTTTATAGTACAGTTAGTAAAAGTACTACAATACCAGGAAGGAAGATCAGGTTGTTGATGTTTGCCTGCCATTCTCACTCTGTCTGCACAGCGTACGTGAATGCGCTGATGGAGTATCCTGTCTGTTTGAACAGGGTGCGCAGAGGTATGCAAAAACATGTTGACAGGCAGGTAGGAAAGTCAATCAAAACACTCGGAACGAGCGTTTTGAGCTTTATAGTACAGTAAGTAAAAGTACTACAATACCAGGAAGGAAGATCAGGTTGTTGATGTTTGCCTGCCATTCTCACTCTGTCTGCACAGCGTACGTGAATGCGCTGATGGAGTATCCTGTCTGTTTGAACAGGGTGCGCAGAGGTATGCAAAAACATGTTGACAGGCAGGTAGGAAAGTCAATCAAAACACTCGGAACGAGCGTTTTGAGTGAACGAACATTTCTTGGTCCTACGCCTTCCACAGAATATATAAATACAGATAAATACATTTAGACCACTCAACTTAATGATTGCTATCGGGATGTGAAGAGACTTTCAACCAGCATAACAAAAAATGTTTCTGAAGACAATCACCTATTGCTCCTTTAGTAAGATTAGCAAACAACAACAATTCAACTAATTACCTATAGACAAAATCAAATCCCGCCCTACATTTTTTTCTTTGTTCAAGAAGCCTACCTCACAGTAGGGAAGAAAAAGTGATTGCAATTTCTGTTTCATGCTGACTTTAACACTGCTCAAACCTGCTCATCTTACATTGTAACAATGAAAGATTGTTGTAGGTTTCTTTTTTGTTGATAAATGCTTCATTACATAGATGACAGGTATCTGTGGTTGAATCATGAAATTATATGTTACTTGCTTTATATCAGTTGTGCTTTGGCACTTCTCTTATGAGCAAATGAATCTGATGGTTTGAGGTTTACTTGTGTTTACCTGTGAAAATGCAAGGTGGAATGACATAAACTTGAAATTTTCCATTAAATTCAAACAGAGAGATCTGAAAATCTGTCGTTTTTGTAGGCTGTAATAACTCTGGGTGGGACAAGAATGTGATTTTGAACAGATTTTTGTATTTACTGGCTGAATAGTAGTATTTTGTTCATTTGAACTAAAACTGAAACAAAAATTCCTTTATTGTGTACTGTAGCTTTAACAATTATAATTTTTTTTGAACACCAGCCAACCACTTAATGTAAAATAAATGGATCACATTTATGAAATGAATTCAAAATTCATTAGAAACAACCTCTAATGAATACATTAGTTAAGATTGCTCATTTATCTGTAAGGAAACAGTTCTCCCTTTTAGTTCTCCTTTTCCCTTTTCAGTCACGTTTTTGAAAGAAAATTGTTGTCATTTGCATATTTATTTTTTGGTTGGTCAGAGAAGACTTTTGGCTGTCAGCGTTCTATGTTCTTGTACAATGATTTGAACTTGCTTAGACTACAACATCTATTTAAAAATACATATTTATGCATTTGAGTTATATACATTAGTGAGAGATTGATTAGAGTAGTTTTAATTAGTTTATTTAGAGTAATATGTGAGGAATCTAAGGCTGTCTTCCCTCCTGTGATTGACTGCCACTAGTAGTGGCAATAAGGGTGCTTTTGTTTTGCTTTTGGGACTTTGTAGTTTCTTCCTGTTTGTTCATATGCGTGTATATGCATGTTCTCCATAGCTGTTTGTGTATGTTTGAAATATTCCTGAAAGCTATATCTGTGAGCTGTGGGTATGTCATAAAAGCCTTTGTGCACAGTGTGAGTCTGGAGACGCAGCTGTCTTCTAAACACTGAAATATTTCTTTGCTCCTTTGCTGTTTCCTCATCCCTCCTTTACTCTGTTGCCAAAACACCCAGGTAGTGATGTCAGTGGAAAGCTCTCCCAAATCCGCTCTCATCTGACTTTGAAGATGGAACCAAACTGTCAGTTATGAATTCAAGGAAGAGAAGCTATATATTTTCTGTTTTCCTTGATCCCATTTGCTTTTCTGTCGTGTAATCCCCTTCTGTCTCACTTTGTTCTTCTTTCTGTTCCTTACATATTTCAACTGTTTTGCATTCTTCTCTCTCTTTCGGGCTTTCTCACTCTTTTGTCTCTCTTCTAAATTAAAATATTATATACACTACCATTCAAAAATAAGATTTTTTAAAAATGTTTTTTCCCCTCACTATGGCTGCATTTATTTAATCCAAAATACAGTAAAAAAGTAACATGTGAAATATTTTTAGAATTTTAATTTGTTCTAATTTAATATATTCCTATTATGACAAAGCTGAGTTTTTAGCAGTCTTCAGTGTCACATGGCCTTTCAGAAATCATTCCAATATTCTGATTTGCTGCTTAATTACTGCTGTTCAATTATTATTATCAATGTTTATAAACAGTTGTGCTGCTTAATATTTTTGTGGAAACCTTGATATGTATATATATTTTTTAGGATTCTTTGAGTAGAAAGCATTTTGACATAGACATCTTTTGTAATATTATACATTTTTGACCTTCATGTTTGATCATTTTAATGCATCCTTGCTAAATTAAGTTAATTATTTATTTTTTAAAAAATCAAAATGAAAATGAGTGGAAATGAGCATTCCTGTTTCTTCAGGTTGCTCTTATTGTTTGTAAGTGCGCATGTTAGTCTCTTTCGCTCTTCTTGTCTTTGGGGTGAACAGTGTTTTGGATTATTGGAATAAGTTTAGTGACCATTCCTTACAAACATGCCTTGACAAATAAATAAGTCTATGGCAGAAAACCTAAACACAGCGGAATTTATAAGGTCCAAAGCCAATGTTGTTTTTTTTTGTTTTTTTCAGGCAGATTCAAATCAGGTGTGGCAGGCCACTGAGGAAGAAAACATTTCTTTCCTTTGACCTCTTGTACACAGGGAGGATTCAGTTGCGGTCAAGCGTCTGTTTTTCACACACAGCTAAGCCTCTGATTCATTACCTGGGATAATGAGAGCAATTCATGGCTCATCAGTCTTAGGCCGTGTGAGGCGGTCTTAACTTCAGCCTCTTGTCTGTGTGCTAATAAACAAGCTAATGATTAATGATAATTGAAAAGCCCCTACCAAGGCAAAATAATTAAAACCAACTCTGTGTGCTTCATTCTGCAAGTCAGGGAAGTGATATTTCATTTGTTTGTGAGGTTTGATTAGAATGATCAGAAAGATCAGAAAGAGGATGAGTGCAAGGGCGAGATGTAGGGCAATAGTGTCCATCTGATGGCTAACTGCTCTGGAGTGTCTTCACTAGATATAAAACACAGCATTGGGGAGTAACTACTTGACTACAATCTTAAAAATAAAGGTGCTTCAAAAGGTTCTTCAAGGGATGCCATAGAAGAACCATTTTTGGTTCCACAACGAACCATTCAGTCAAAGGTTCTTTAAAGAACCATCTCTTTTATACCTTTTTGTAATCTGAAGAACCTTCTTTCGCCACAAAGAACCTTTTGTCAAACAGAAAGGTTCTTCAGATGTTAAAGGTTCTTTTTGGAACCATTTAGACAAAAAGGTTCTTCTATGGCATCGTGAAGCACCTTTATTTTTAAGAGTGTACATTGTTCACTGGTATGACAGTAGTTCATCTGTTTTCAAAACCAATAGCACTGTTGTCTTACCAATGTTGTATGTGAAAAACCATTTAGGTCAGGATGCTTTAATTTACAGTGCTGTTTGGAGTCTGGTTGTAGCAACACTCTCCATTTAGATATTTTATAAATACAGCAACGATCTGAGAGGTAAAATCCTTTCCAAAGCCTCTTATTGTTATTGCTATTGCGTGGATTCCCCCTCAGAATGGCATTCATGAAACCACAACTTTATATAGCTTGTGAGTTGTGTATCCACCATCTAAGCTTTGACCTTTTTGCGAATATTTTTCTGTGTGTGCCTTTTAAGATGCTCCCACACACATGAACCGCCTCAGGCCCAAGTTTTATTTATGGTATTATTTGTGGGGGCTGATTAGCACAGAAAGGTTATTTTGAGCTTGAGTCAATGATTCAGTCTGGCCTTTAATTCACATATGTAACCAACCAACTGAATGAATGAGGAAATCTCAGGAAAGTGGGTGAAGAGGTGGATATGATGTCTGATGGAAAAACAGCGTCATACTGTAGTCTCTGCTGTCAGTTTTCTAAAGTGAAACAGCTGATTCTAAATGTGATAAAATGAAGTACACACAAAAGATAACTATGGGGGGAAAAAGGAAAGGCCTTTGAATGACCAGATGATGTCATGTGGAGGTAATTAAAAAATAATACAGTTTGTGCTAATAGAGGTAAGCTGGAAATTAAAACTTAATTCAACATAATGGCTGACTAAAATTGCAGCGCACTGAAGTTTTTTTTTTTTTTTTACTTTAATGTTCCCTGATTACATTATAATTTAATTTTAGATACATTAAATTTTGCTATTTTTCCCAAAAATGTTCAACAATATTTCTTCTCTTTGTCATTATTTGTTATTGTTTTCTGAACTAATTCTTAGGATTAAACAGATTATGTAAGTTTACTACTTCTATATGTTCAATATCATGGCTTTAAAAAGTGTGGCAAAGTTGTGTGTCATAACACATAATCTGAAGCTGCTAGCTAAACACACCTTTGCTAGAAGTAGTACATCTGGGCATTATATAATTTGAATGAGGTGCAGGGGTATGTACTGTAATTGTGTTGCTTATAGATAAGTTGTATTTGTATATTGTAGTAATATGTGAGTGATGCACATGTCTGTCTTTCAGGACGCGGGTCACCATCTACTGAGTGGTCAGGATGAGCGTGGATCCATTTTTGTGAACGAGGCAGCATTTATGTCTCCCTCTCTGAACAACAGGCACATTCACCTTCAACATCACTCACATCATCATCATCAGACTGTCCACCTGCACTCAGGATACTCAGATTCTCCCAGTGCTCAGAACAGTCTCAATTCACTCCTGGCACGATCCAACCACAGACAGAGCTCTGCTGGAGTATCTGATGCTCCTGCAGGGCATGAGAGCTGGACTGGAGGAACAATGTACTCTACCCCTCGGAGAAGGCTAACAGAGATCCCAAACAATGGTAATGTTTTTACTGCAATCACTAGTAACTTAGTTGTGTGGACAGTAGAGGTGGGCAGAATGAGGAGTCTTATGTTGCAGTGTGAGTAACTGTTAGGTTTTTTTTTTTTTGGTGCACATCCCTCACCCCCTAAAATAAAAATGATATGCATGTATTTGATCAAAAAGTCTGAAATCGTAATATTATGAAATATTATTACCATTTAAGATAACCGTTTTCTATATTAATGTTTCAAAATGTAATTTATTCCTGTGATGGCAAAGCTGAATTTTCAGCAGCTATTACTCCAGTCTTCAGTGTCACATTTTCCTTCAGAAATCATTCTAATATTCTGATTTGCTCAAGAAACATTTATTAATATTAACAATGTTGAAAAAAGTTATGCTGCTTAATATTTTGTGTAAACCATAATATATTTAGGTAACAATGGCCTTAAAGCATATGTATAATGCATTATAAAAGGTTATTAAAGGGTATAATGCATTACAATTATTAATAAAGTGTGTTTTTATTACATTATATCTTGTAGTAAATAATTATAACCAAATTTAAAATGCATAGTGTAACAATGAATTGATAAGTGTTATAATGAATTAACTGTGGTTACAATTAGGGCTGGACAATAATTAAATCTCAATATGTATCGCGATATAATTTTTTTCAATAACGGTGATATGATTTTTAAACACATTTCCTATATTTCGATATACATTACCAGTGTTTCCCTTACATTGATTTATTTGTGGCGTTTGACTTCGTTGAATAAACATGAGCGCTGCACGTTTCAAAATCAAAACGCGTCGCGGGTGTTTTATATGAATGTATCTCTGAAGGGAACGACTGTCTTCAGAATAGTTTAGATGGCATTTTTATCTGATAAAGCAGCGTTCATGAGCGGAGCTGCTTTGTTTACAGCAGTTACTGGAGAAACCGTTAGTTCCACCGCTCTCACAGCGCCTCATGCTGGCGGAGAATCAGTTTGCATTTTCAATAATAAACCCATTTCCAGCAACATGCTTTTGTTGTTGCTCTATTTTTTTGTTTTCTGAAGCAACTCGGAGCATGTTTCATACTCGTTATCCTGGTTAATGCACGTTTCAATCTATAAGAATAATCAGCCTACACTACCACTCAAAGGTTTTTGAACCGCAAGATTTTTGTGTTTCTTAAAGAATTATCTTCTGCTCACCAAGCCTGAATTTATTTGATCCAAAATGCACCAAAAGCAGTAACATTTTGAAATATTTTTACTATTTAAAATAACTGCTTTCTATTTGAATATATTTTAAAATGTAATGTATTCATGTGATCAAAGCTGAATTTTCAGCATCATTACTCCAGTCTTCAGTGTCACATAATCCTTCAGAAATCATTTTAATATGCTGATTATCAATATTTAAAACAGTTGAGTACATTTTTTCAGGATTCTTTGATGAGTAGAAAGATCCAAAGATCAGCATTTATCTGAATTAAAAAGGTTTTGTACACTATACCATTCAAAAGCTCTTTTTAAAATTTATATTATAGAAATTATTACTTTCATTTAGCAAGGATGTTTTATAATGACATTTATAATGTTACAAAAGAATAACTGAAGAAACAGTTATTTTAAATAGTAAAAATATTTCAAAATGTTACCGTTTTTGCTGTATTTTGGATTAAATAAATGCAGGCTTGGTGAGCAGAAGAGAATTCTTTAAAAAACATTAAAAATCTTACTGTTCAAAAACTTTTGACTGGTATGTTAGCCTATAGTTTGAAGTAAAAAATATTAATATTAATAAGGAGAGTCTGAGATTTATTTGACAGTGATTTCACATTTCTTGTTTGTATGAAGGCTAAATACCAATAAAAGGTGAACATTTATTTATTTGCGCCATATTTCTTCCTAAAATATTATATAGTTTTATAGGAGTAGGTTTCATAGAGTTGGCAAATTAATTTTTCATAAGTTTGTAGGTACAGACAGTATCTGTCGTGGCCGTTTTTGAGACTTTTTTAATAGTGTTCATATCGATATCGGAATTATATCGTATCGACCGAAATTAAGAAATATATCGTGATATAAATTTTGGCCATATCGTCCAGCCCTAGTTACAATTATTCATGAGATTGTACAATGCATTTTGAAGTGCATTACAAGGCATAATTAATGCATTCAAACTATTCTATAAAGCATCATACATAAAGGCTTTAAGGTAAAGTGTTACCTAAATTTTAAATAATATTTTCATTATATATTAGGTCTCAAACCAAAGGGTAAGATTATAACTGATGAAGTCTGGCACAATGTGAAAATAGCTTCACATTACGTAACACTTGAGTTAAAAACGAGACTCAAAAAAGTAATTAATTACAAATGATGATGATGACTCATTGGATGAGCCGGTTAAAATACCTGTTGTGACATTAATTGGCAACTGTAAACAGTTATGTCATAACTGCACCAGACACATGGTGTGACACATCCAAACAAATCACTCCTGTTATAATCACCACCAACTCTTCACACAAGAAACGTCCATCTGCAACACACTTTGGAGTATGTGCTATAGTTTTCGGACTCAAAATCGTGTCACAGATATACCTCAATATACAAGGTATTTCAGAATCTCTAATGATTGGCATATTTTTACCATTATATAGCTGCCTATAGTTAGCAACATAGCAGAAAATCAAGCTGGACTTGTTTGGCCCTTAACTATGCCATAGAAGCAAAAGAAAGATCAACTTGTTAATCGTTGCTAAAACTTGTGTTGCAGCAGTGAAGGTCGATTTTCTCTCTTTGTGTTGTTAATCTGTGTTTAATAACAAAGATTCATCCTCACTCTATCACACACAGGTACAAACACACACAGATACACATCTGTCTCTGTGATCAATTACGCATTCTGTCTATTGACTGTCGGGTTGACAGTGGCGTGTGAATCAAGGGCCTCCAGCTACGGGAGACTGATTGGAACATTGATCTAAAAAATCTTTACCAAACTCATTACAGAGTGACCTGTCATCTTACAAGGCAGAGGGACAGAAACTTATTCATCTGTTTTTCACACATGAGCTGTCTGAGTTGTCTATTTAACATTATGAATTGTCTCTCTCTCACACACAAACACACTCATACACTTCATCTCTGTACTGTCTAAAGGTACTTGTTGAACACACAAGTGAAATTCAAGTTTTCACATGTGAATATTACAGTAGATAACATCTTATTTACAGTATTATTTATTTACTTGCTTTAAAGGTTGTATACTGTGTGTGTATTGATCACTTCATTAACCCTCTCTCATTATTGACAAAGCATGCACAAGAGTGCATGTTTAGCTAGATTAGTGTCCCACTTCCTAGCTAATCTTATTATCTATAGGGTCTTATTTAACATAAATATCCACAATGCACATTTACTACATTTGTTTACCTAGAATTCCCTGCTTTTTACAGGAAAACGCTATAACACTGCACTTAATGGCTGGTTAGCATGGCTTAGTTAGCATGTGCTGGTAGTTACATGTTTCTAAATCGAATGCATTTATTTATTATTTAAACTTCATACTTGATCAAAAGTGACAGCAAAGACATTAATAATGATACAAAAAATGTATGTCAAATAAATGTTCTTCTGAACTTTCTATTAAGCATAGAATCCCGAGAAGAAAACGTTTCACAGTTTCATCAACATATTAAGCAGCACAACCTTTATCAACATTGATAATAATAATAAACCTTTCTTGAGCAGCAAATTTCTGAAGGATTGTGTGACACTGAAGACTGGACCAGTGGCTGCTGAAAATTCAGCTTTGCCATCACAGAAAAAAAACTACTTTTAAATAATCTATATATAAATTCAAATAAAAAATACCTGTTCTTTTAAATTGTAATAATGTTTTTAAATAATATTTTAAAACTATTTTGACCAAATAAATCCAGCCCTGGTGAGCATTAGAGACTTTTTTCAAAAACAATAAAATCCTTGGTTGTACTGGACCACTTCATCTGGAGGTTTTGTTGGGGCGATCAAGAAAGAATGAGCTAAAGCTCTGCAACAGATGGCCCTGTTATTGATATGACACCTTAATTTAATTAAATCCTAAACGTCTAGGGCCAAAAAAGATTATGCTGATGACACATGCACATGCTTAAACCAATAGCTGAACAAAGGAGAGGTTCAGTAGAGCTAAACACAGGTGAAGGCCATAATTAAATATATTTGTGTGTCCACAATGGTCATGATTCACTCAGCAAACTGAAAGATCTCCGTAGAGTCTACTGTACCTGTTTGTTTTTTTAATCGAAGTGAATAAATATGAGTGTTACCTGTCCTATAAAGGCCTTGATTGAAGTGCTGGTTAAATCAACAAGCATATAACGCTGCTTTGTTTCACTATTTATTCAGAGGTCAAGACCATGGCCTCAAAGTAGTTGAATGTTTGACCTTCACTATTCACACAGTGCTCAGCTAACAACATTACCTCACATACACAAACATTGGGGATGGAGGTAATGAAATTGGGTCATTGACCCTGTTGAGAAATGGGTAATTAAATGAGAGAGATTCATCAGTTTCATTCACAACATCACATGAATGTTAATGACATGTGATAGCGTTTGAGCTGAACCCCTTGTGTGGATTAGGCCTAGATGTTTTTTCCCCCTTTTACATGAATGTAGTACAGTGACCCAGTAGTGCACAACACAACGAAATCTCCACAATACAACGAAATCGCCACAACACAACACATCGGACTAATTTATTTGTGTTGTGCTAATTTCGTTGTGTTACGGCTTGTTTCCGTTGTGTTGTGCTAATTTCGTTGTGTTGTGGCTTGTTTCCATTGTGTTGTGCTAATTCAGTTGGGTTGTGTTTCCATTGTGTTGTGCTAATTTTGTTGTGTTGTTTCCATTGTGTTGTGCTAATTTTGTTGTGTTGCGGCTTGTTTCCGTTGTATTGTGATACAACGAAATCACCACAACACAATGCATAGGACTAATTTTGCTGTGCTGTGCTAATTTAATTGTATTATGGATTGTTTCCTTTGTTTTTTGCTAATTTTGTTGCGTTGCGGCTTGTTTCTGTCATGTTGCGCTAATTTCGATGTGTTGCGGCTAGTTTCCATGTGATGTGACACAACGAAATCACCACAACACAATGCATAGGACTAATTTTGTTGTGCTGTGCTAATTTAATTGTGTTGTGTTGTGTTTCCATTGTGTTGTGCTAATTTTGTTGTGTTGTGGCTTTTTTTCCATTTTGTTGTGCTTTATTTCGTTGTGTTGTGCATTACTGGGCCACCGTAATGTAGTAACATGAGCATGAACATAATAGCTCAAAAATAAAAAATGTTGATTCCATATTATTATCTTTGGTCAAACACAAAAGGAGCTTCTGCTCTTCATACAATGAACATAGATGGTCTCAAAATGTTGTCTGTTCCTCACACATACATTAGGAAGATAATCATCAGTGAGTATCTTAAATTTCAAAAAGCTAGGACTTGGAATATAGCACACAAAGCCACTTGTGTGAGACTTTTATGGTACGTTTTTGTCCTTTGTGGAGCTTTGTATCATAAAATATCATCCACCATCCAAAATCCACAGTTGCAGTATGCAAAACATTCTGCTTCAGATCTCCTTTTGTTTCACTGAAGAAGGAAAATGATGGATCAACATGAAGAAAATGATTAATAATGTAACTATGGTGACTATTGATGACAATGATGAATAGTTACATCCGATCTTGTCTTCACAGATGTGGGTCCGCTCGACCATGTCCAAGAATCTTGGTCAGCTGGCGTAACAGGGGCAGGGCTTCATCAAGCCGACGTCCTGCTCGTCAACCAGCCCTTGGTTACCATGGAGACAGAGAACAGAGATACTGATGGAGAGGAGAATATTGTGTATCTCTGAAATGAACAAAAAATCTTTGGTTGGTGTTGAAACAAAACATTTGGACTTGGATTTGCAATTTGAGATTTGGACCAGGATCTGATCCCACTCCTTATTTTGTGTTTTTTGATTCTTCCTTTAATCTTAGCAAACTTTCTGCCTTCTGTGACATTCTCCAGACTTCGTAGCACTTACTTTGGTTCATGTGTGAGATGGGGCTTGTCTGAGTGGCTGTATTTTGCTTTATAGCCTGGAGCCTGCAATGACAGAATCAGGTTAGGCAGTTTCAGCACACGTTCAGGCGCACCCACAAAAGTCCCCCACCCACATTGCCACACAATGTATTTTTCTACAACTGTCCATGTCAGTTTACATCAGGACACAAAAATACTGACCCTTTCTTTCAGGAGATGAACGATGACTTGGTTTATAAAAGCATTCACCGCCTACTACATGAGTCAGGGTTATGTGTGCATGTTAGAGTAAGGAATCAAATTGCCACCTTTCAGATTCGATCTCTCACATTTGGAAACTGGTTTCACATGTCCATATGGAGGAGAATGTGTAATATGTGTCATGCTTTACTCTTCTGAAACAGTTCAGATTCATTGGTGCTCACAAGCCATTGCCTATAATGCCACATGTGCAGCAAACGTCTAAAAAGAGTCTCATCATCATTGGGATTACAAACTGGCATTCAAATATATTTCTTGATACTTTTAGGTCATTATGTTGCCGTATCGTCCGGCTTTGTTTATGCATTTTGCATATTGTTGGTTACATAAATTAGCATAAATTCAGGCTTTCTGTTATTTCAGTCACAAACAAAAAAGTCCCAATTAAAATTCAAGCCATAATTGTTGACTGTAGACCAGTATTAGGTGTGAATACTGTTTGTACTCGAGTTAAAGTGACAAGAATTCAGCGTGTATTTGCTTTTTAAATTGCTATTTGCTCTATTGAAAAACACGTTTCACTGCGCATGAGAACACTTGCTATTCTTTTTGTTTCTTCCAATGCATAAACCTTATTTATTGTTAAAAATGGTAAGGAATCATTTTATGTACATAGAGCATGTTTTGTATAATTGTTGTATGTAGACAGGTGTATATGTAGTAAATGTTCATACATCAGCTTTTGTGTTTTTTCTTGTTTTAAACCATTTTATTAGCATTATGATATCTAATATTTACAATTTATATGCTTATGTACATAACTGCTAGATCACAGCTTCAACTAGATGTTTTAAATTCTTTATCTGTACGTTTGTATCTATGCATTTTGAATGCAGGTAATTTTGATTTCAAGTTGATAATTCAATAGGAGATTTAGTCTTAGTCAAGTTACCCTTTACACAGTGACAGCTTCTGTCATACAAATGTAACAAATGAATTACAGAGCTGTACAGGTACTAAAGCCTGATTCTCAGAATAGAGCTTTCTTAGACTGAATATATTAGACTGTAATTGCAGATGCAAAAATTATTTAGAAATTTGCTTTCCATTATTGTAAAAAGGCATTTAACTGCACGAGTAGTGTGAATAGTATGATCATTTTGCCAATTCAAAACTTTAGAACTAATTGATTAATAATCCACATAGTACATTCTTTCAGTAGTCTGTAAAACGGTTATCAGTACAAGAAAAGCATGCTGCTTGTCAGAAAAACTATGCAAATTTTTGAACATTCTCACCTAAAAAAGCTAACTTTTTAAAGCAGATATATTGTCTGTAGAAAACAGGGGAAAGCCTCACTGCAGATACCACTGTATACATTATTATGCTGGTAAAATCTCTGATTTGTTACATATTCAGCAAAACCACCATTTCTCTTTATCCTTTCCCCCTATTATTTAGAGACCTCTAAAAGTTATTTGCACACACAATTAGCGACTAACAAAGTCAATATATACCACTGCTGAGTAATGCATTTGTGGGTGGGGACAGTAACCATGGTGCTCCCCATGGCACCGTAATGACTTTAGGAGGAGTTCCACTGTAAACCTGTCATCCCAGCAAATAAATAACAGCCATTATCCCACCTATGGCACTTTTAAAGAAGAAACCCCTTTCCTGTGCATATTCTACATATTACTTTGACGAGTGTGTTAATCTTGAGACACAAGGGGACACAAAAGTAATCAACATTAAAAAATGGCTACTAGGTCATTTAAAGTTTTTTTTTCTTAGATTTTTGAAAGTGTAGATATGGAAGCAGAACACATCTGTGTATTCCTTGACACATCTGTGTGTGGTGGCTCTTGATGCCTTGACCCCAGCCTCAGTTCATTCCTTGTGAAGTTCACTCAAATTATTGAATCAGTTTTGCTTGAGAATCCTCATAAGGCTGTGGTTCTCTCGGTTGGTTGTGCATCTTTTTCTTCCACACTTTTTACTTCCACTCAACTTTCTGTTAACATGCTTGGATAGAGCACTCTGTGAACAGCCAGCTTCTTTGGCAATGAATGTTTGTGCCTTACTCTCCTTGTGAAGGGTGTCAATGATTTTGAATCAGCAGTCAGATCAGCAGTCTTCCCCATGATTGTGTAGCCTAGTGAACCAAACTGAGAGACCATTTTGAAGGCTCAGGAAACCTTTGCAGGTGTTTTGAGTTGATTAGCTGATTGGCATGTCACCATATTCTAATTGGTTGAGATAGTGAATTGGTGGGTTTTTGTTAAATGTGAGCCAAAATCATCACAATTAAAAGATATGTTTTATCCATTAATATTGTATTTAAATAAAATTTAAATCTGTACTTCAAAGTCACTTCCAAATACAGCATGCTTTTTCTTTATTCCCTTAAACCCCATCAAGTCCTCACCCCTACATTTTTACTTCACTCTTTTTTTTTGAGCTGATTTGTTTTTCTTTGTAAACATTTCTTTGAATGTTTTAACGTTGCAAGTTTTTTTCCCCCATTGTTTGTGGTGTCTTATGCATGAGCACTGTTTTTAGGACGCTATGTTAACTTTAAAATGCATCTCGATACCTTGTTTTTTGTTGTTGTTGTTTTTTAACTGCCCTGCTTGTTGTTTTGTTTTTAAATGACGTTTGAATTTGATTGTGGTGTTCCAAGCGCTGATATTTAAGAGCACTGGGACTTTTCACTGTTTGTATCACTCCGCTTGTGTTTATTATGTGCTCTTCAAGTGGAGTCATAAATATAATAATTAGTGAACAAGCAAAGTTGTATGTGGGGAACTCTGAATTCTAGATGTTACATGAGTTGCGACGCCACTTTGAAACATGGCTGAAATACTGACCTATAATAAAAATAATGCATAATATATCTATAGTTCATAATATAGAGATCAGTGAGGGGAAAGCAATTCATTAGCAAATGTCGTAAAGTAAAAACTCAACTTTCATGATTTGCTTTATGTAGCAAAACATTTTTAGCTGTGACCATGAGTAAATAAGTGACAGGACTGAATATTCTTCATCACTTTAAATTCAGATGTAGTTATTTGGGTTTATTGTGCAAATATAAAACATTTTTGTTTTGTTTCTGGCTTGAAAACATGACATGACTAACTGGCAATATTAATGTGTCAAATATAATGTAAGTTGCTCAATACAAACTTGTTGAGTTATTGTATAAAAGCAATATCACACTCAGCCATCATGATTGCAGGTGTGATATTGCTTTTATACAATAGCAATACCAATACGGCTGTGAATACCAGTAAGCAGATAGATAAAAATGATTGCTTGTGTGATATTGCTCAACTGAGAAAAAAAAATATTTATACTTTGTGGGTGTCCATTTCTGGTGTGTTTTCTCATCAGATCTTTGTGGTGGGTTCAGAAAGGGTTGGAGAAATAGATATATATAAATTTTTTGTCATGTAACATTTGGTAACCTGCGTGGGCAACAGTGAAACACACACTGACACGCATCTGCACACACAGCTCCCTTCAGCTACAAAGGAAAGCCGCATCCCTGTTTACTAAACACACAGTAATTACATAGGCACATTACTGAGCTTTGATGCCAAGCAGAGGCCCGCAGCCATCACGCACAATCAAGTGTTTAGTGCTCTCGCACTCTTTCATTTCTTACTAATCCCTCCGTTTCTCCATTTTCTCTTCCTCAGGGAGCGCCAACGCTGTCTTTCATCACCTGACAGAATAAGACAAGTACTTCCCAATTTGTCCTTCTTTAAGCCCTCACGAACACACACACTCATACACAAGCACATATGTTATCACCTCATGAGCTCTGGTAATTAGAGGATTCAGGTTTGACTGAAGGCCAGTTACTTTAGTCTGCGTGTGAGCAACATTTTGAAGTCTTTTGTCCCACATGAACCATGAAAAGTCTCGGTAATTCTGCTGCTGGTGTCCAAACCCATCATTATGTCTTCGTAGTGGCGTGTGAGTGGTGTTTTGTACAGTAATAAAGTGACACTGTGAAAGGTGCTAGGGAGAGGGTTTTACCACGGGTCAGCGGAGCACTTATGCACAAACGCAGATCTTCATCTGAAGTACGGCATGCTGAAGTAGATATCTCATAAGAGTGTCACTCACGTTAAATCCTCCAATCCCTAAAGCCTCTGAGTCAACAAGACACTTATTCACTGTATCAATTTGAAGGCCTGTATCCGTCAAAACTGTAACAGTGACGGTCCATAAATACACGCAGCCTTCAGTCAAAGCAATGCCTCTATTCTAGAGCTGTCAGCACAAATACACACACTCGCACACAAACTGAAGTGCATGTACTTTTCTTCAAAAACATTCCATGTATTAATATCATTTTGAGGGGATGTCAGTCAAAGATATACCAGGGAATGTCAGAAAGAGATTAGAGAGAGAGAAAGAAAGAAAGAGAAATGGGGCTGTGTACCTTCAGATAAAAAACTTTTAAATGAGTCTTTAGTGTTGCAGGGTGTGTGCAGCGCTTTGAGGTGTCTCTGAATTACAGTCTTTCTCTGCCACCTTAATAGATCAACAGAACATTTACCACACAAATGGAAAACAGGTACAGAAACAATAAATATAATTTGAAAATGTAATCTAGGTGAGGAGGGTTTATTTGACTCAGTAGTAGGAAGGGATTACAGTGTGCCAGTGTGTATGGGATGGATGGAAATATCAAGATACTTTTGAAAAAGAAAAGAAAGAAGTACCTTATACAATACAGTAAAAACAGTAATAGTGTGAAATATTATGATTTAAAATAAACATTTGGATATATTTTAAAATGCAGTTTATTCTTGTGATGGCAAAGTTGAATTTTCAGCAGCCATTACTCCAGTCTTCAGTCACATGATCCTTCAGAAATCATTCTAATATTCTAATTTGCTGCTCAATAAACGTATTTTTTATCATCAATTCTAAAAAATTGTTTCACTTTATATAAAATTTTGATTTTAATATTCATTTTAAACAAAAAAAATCCTTTGTAAAATTATATATGCCTTTGTTGTCCCTTTTGAACAATTTAATGCATATTTGCTCAATAAAAGTATTAATTTCTTACTGATCCCAAACTTTTGAATGATACATACTGTACAAACAGAACTGTTTGTTTTATAATGGTCATATTAAAACTGTTATGGAAACATTTCTCTATACCTTCTTGTTTGATATTTTCGACCTTTTAACAGTCCTCTAGATTTTTCTGTACTTTCAATTGTATGTGGAAATCCATCACTAATATAAATTATTACATTTAAAATTTGATAATCTAAACAAAGAATAAAAAGACATAACTGTTTTCATATTTATTGTGTAAAATGATTTTGGTAAATTTCTAAATAAATATGGCGTTGTCATTTCCACCACACCGCCCATAGTTAAAAACAGACTGATGATAGATAGATAGATAGATAGATAGATTTGTGAGGTTATACGGCAGCTTTAATTCTGCCCTTCACAAGACCTGCTCCACACACAGTGTCTGTAATTGATATTGTTTGGCCTCTGCGGCTTGTGTGGGTGAAAACACTCACACATATTCAACCTTTCAACATGTCCCCACTGTGGACAATAACAAACACACGCACACCTGTCATCACTTTTTGTGTTACTAATGACGCTTTTTCAATGACTCAGTACAGCCAGACTCCGCTGTTCCCAAGGGAGATAAAAGCACAGAGGAGTATTATTGGCCCTGT